CCTGCCTATCCTCCCTCCTGGTGATCACACACACCCTACAGCAAAATCTAAAAAAAAAAAAAAGGGGGAACCAGCAGTTAGCGTAATAGCTATGTCGCTGGACTCCCATGTAGTCAACCGCAGTTCGCGTCCCGGACCCGGTGGCTTAAAACTCACGTCGGGCACATGTGCGTGCGTTCTCAAGATCCCGAAAGGAGAATGGAGGAGAAGGGATTGCAGCGTGACCATCCCCTCTGGGGGGTGATTTCTCACTTTCTGTCTCTATGTCTCTCTCTGTCTGGTGAGCGCACGCGCCCTATAGCGAAAACCTCTCCAAAAAAAAAAGGTTGTGGGAACCAGCAGTTAGCGTAATGGCTATGTCGCTGGACTCCCACGTAGTCGACCGCGGTTTGTGTCCCGGACCCAGTGGCTTAAAACTCACGCCGGGTGCGTGTGCGTGCGTGCCCAAGATCCCGAGAGGAGAATGGAGGAGAAGGGATTGCGGCGTGACCATTCCCCCTGGGGGGTGATTTCTCGCTTTCTGTCTCTATGTCTCTCTCTGTCTGTCTGGCGAGCGCACGCGCCCTACAGTGAAAAATCTCTCCCCCCCCCAAAAAAAAAAAGAAAGGTTGTTACATACATTAGAATGTTTTACGTTAACTGAAAAGTCCATTGACTTAATCAGCCATGGCTTCTGCAGCCCGGTGACCAAATTTCAGAAAATGGCCTCAGTTTTCTAACTACTGTCCATGAAACATGTTAAAAAACAAAATTTTAGACAAACCAAAATTTAACAGAGTTTATTTGGACAAAGGGTGGGCTCTTTGAAATGAAGCGGATTGGCACTGTCAGAGCTACCTACGGCCATTTCAGGCATCCTGTTCAGGATGCAGTCGGATAGATCCTGTTTATGGTTCATAAAACCTGACTACTGTGAGTATTCCAGAATCCTGGCAGAACGGGATTCGAACTTTCATGGAGCTGTAAATTAAGGGGTGGGAAGTGTGATAAAACTCCTTAGAGAACTGTGAGGAAGGGAAAAAAAAAGTCGCGCTGCAATGGTTAAATGAAATTTTATAAGCACGCGTTCAGTGTGGAGCTGTTTTGCATTACATGAGTTGAATACCTTAGAGACGCCACATCTGCAGGCACTTTATTAAATCCTTAGTCAGCACTTTCCAACCTGATGAGATTACTTCTTCATTTGACTGGAGAAAAGGAAAGCTGAGCTCTTGTCCTGGACGGCAGATTTCTTTTGATGTTTCACCTTGAAGACTGAAAGAGGACAATTACTCCCCTCCTTCTCCTCCCCGTCCCCCTCAGCACACCCCAAACTGTACACCCTGTGAACGTAACTGACTAATTTTGTGAAAGGAGACCTTTTGTAGGAGTGTGGATTTATGGACCTCCAAAACAACTATAGCTGAAAGTTCCAGGAGGACAAAATAGATCAAAGCTCTGTTTACTTCCTTAATGTAAATGCGTCAAGATAACATCGTCCTATACTGTGTTGTCATATTGTGACTCACTACAGATAAGGACAGAGATTCCTTTGTAGTCCATCAGGATACAGTAGGTTAGATTAAGGGACTGTAAAGTACAAAGGCAGAAACCATATGCAACCTAAGCTTATGTCAGGAAATGTCCGAAAACTATTTTTTGACTCTGCATAAATGAATGTTCCTTAATGTGTCAACACTTCCCAGTGATTTGCTATTCAACCCCAACAATTTCACCATCTCAGACCTCTTCAATGTTTTTTGTGTACAGTCCAAGAAGAAAGTATTCAGAATCATTCCTTCTTTACTTGTTTGAAAACGTGTACTGCTTGCATAATAGAAATTATTAGAAAATATGAGCTTTTCCAAGGGTCGTCCATCTGATGTTATCAGCAGTTCATGGAAGTTTCTAGAAATTGAGTGGCATCTATCTGTGCGATTCTCACATCCCTTATGAAATTATGAACATCTTCGACCACAAACTGTCTGTGAGATATTAGTGGAAGAAATTTATTATTATTATTAGAACTGTTTATCCTCTGTGTCTACAAATAGATGATTTAATCTAAGAGACTTCATTCTCACAAAAAAAAAAAAAAATCCCTGTGTGGTTCCCCTAAACCTACTTCCCATTCTAGAAACCCTTGGTCAAGTAGCTGGGTTAATTGTCATGAAGATTAGTGTGATGTTGAAATAAGTACTAATGGTCAAATTACAGGAGTGAAAAAGTTTAAGAATAGGTTTTGGTTTGGGCCTGAAAGGGTTAATTAAGGTTTTTTCACGGGTTATTAAAGACCCCCAACCCCTGCCTTCAGGAGTCATATTGACACCCCACCACAGGGCAGCTCAGCTCCTCTATTGACATGTTGCTGGTCGGAGCACAATAGCCTCTGTGTCTGCAAATCATTGCTAAAATCATCTCGAGGAAAAAAAAAAGTTTGAAAGCTTTAGCGTTAGACAAAAGCCCAAGAGCTGCAGTGCGGCTCAAAAACCTGGAGTCAGCAACTTCTATTGATTAAAAACTAACCTTTAAAGTAACTCTGAGAGTGTGTGGTTAGCATTTAAATTTAAACATGTCATGAGTTGATTTGTGTTACTGAATACCAACTCAGAAGGAGTAACATTCACAGCGCATTTTTTTTTCTAATTCCCTTAAGCAGCTAAAGTATTTCATGAAATGTCAATAGGGCAAAAAGAAAAAGGGGAGGGGGGCTGAGGCTGGGCCTTGTAGTTTTCTTTCCCATGCAAATATTCACCCCCCAAAAGAAAAGTGTGGAGAGTGAAACACAATAATTAGTCCTTTGTCTAACTTTCTCAAGTGCCAGAGAAAGACAGATTAATTAAATATACAACAGTGTTGGTTTTTGGAGTGGGGGTCTTGCTTGCTGTGCAGGTCATAAATTAGGCAGAATAAATACTTCAATGTGTTTGCAGTGGGCCTGCTACGTCAGAGCCACTGGAAGGTTGGTGGGAGGAGAGCAGAGGGTTTCTTGCTAATGATAGTCACGTCTGGGTCTGTCTGGTTGCTAAGAGCAACCAGACATGATGTAACACCAGGATGAACTTGAACTTGGGGGACTTGAAAAGAGAACAATAGACCAGAGCAATCAATAAAGCCTATTTCAGTGAAGGATTACAGAGCTGCTCTGGGGTAACCTTGTCGGCAAAGCACATACTGAATAGTAAGATGTGTGAAGAAACTTTTTTTTTTTTGCTTTGCTTTTTAAGAGAAGTGCAGAGGCACTGCAGATTTTTGTAGTGCCCTGAGGTCTCATCCAGAAACGGTGGAATGGAAAACTGCTCCCCCTGCTGACTCGCTGGGCCCAGGCCTTTGCTTCGTGAACGACCAGAGTGTCAGATTTAAGAAGTTTGCAATTTCACAACTGACTTAGAAAGTGTGAAAACAGAAATTGTAAGCCTTAGTCCCTGCACCCAAAGTTAGAGATGTCTTGCTAAAGAGAGCAGTTGGCTCCAACGGGGAAAGAGCTCGACTAAACCACACATTGGGAGTTTCCTTCCATCCGTTGCCTTTCTTGCCCGCTTTTCTTTCTCTTGTACAGTTAGATTTAGGTCGTGTGTATTTGCCAGGACGATTTCCTTTCAGGACACAAGAGGCCGCATTGTGCGCCTCAAAGCATGTGGTCAAAGAATAACATCTAAAAGTATATGGGATGAGTAGTTTTTCATTTAGGCTGAGGTTTTCTCAACTCCTCTGGAAATCAAAGGTAGCTCGTGTGACCGGGAAATCTTATCCCCACCTCCATGTCCTTATCACTTAGCCGTTTATCCCTGGGACCCAATGAGTCCTTACTTTACCTAATTGAATCTTTTGGGCAAGGGTGAGTCTTTACCTGGCTGCACCAACCCAAATGTAACCCTTCTGGATTCTGTCCACGCTGCGAATTTGGAAGCATTCACGTTTGCTAGAAGTTGATGTGCTTCATGATAAATGTAGTGAGTTTTGTCAGGGTACCTGTAGACAAAAGTTGGCCAAAGTCGTCCAACAGGCTCTGGTGTTAGTCTACAGCTGGTTACTGTGTTTAGCCAATAGAAAAGAAATACCTGCAGATAAAGTGGTATGTCACCAGGTTGTTGCTAAAAGCTAATCACCTCCAGATTTATGAAAGGAAAAGAGAGCCGGTAACGGTCTCTCTCAGGCACACAAAAGTCTCTAAATAAATGTTGAATAAACAAAAGCGTGAATGAGGGGTTTGCAGCGGCCTCAGTTTTCCTTTGACCATCATGGTGGTTAAGAGGGGAAAATGTTGGCACTACTTGATTATTATGTGTCATAATATTATGAAAATATCACTTGAGAGATCTTGAGCCGAGAGGAGCATTTTACATCATAAAGCCTGCCTCGCACATACATAGGCGGATGGAGTGCAAGAGCAATGTTATGACCTGCTCACAAGCACCTGGGGCACCTGCTACGATGCCTTCTCTCTTTACCGCCCCTCCATCTCCTATCACGTGTGACCATCTGTGCCTGCTGAAGGAAGGGTGCACTCACGTGTTCACTTCCTACAGCTCATTTAGAAGGAGATGTGAAATCACCGAGTTGGCACTCATCACCACATGAACCCTCTCCGTTTAGCTGTGCTCCATAAAGTCAACCATTCTTCCTTGGGAATATTCCGGATTCCAGGCACTGGGCTGGGCACCTGAGGATTGAATGATAAACAAGATGGTCAGGTTTCCTGCCCTTCAGTCATTGCCCCTTACCAGACTACAAAACCTGTATGTATATCCGCAGTGGATAGAAATCACCTCATTTTGTAAGACACGCTGAGAACGTTGCCCGCCCCAGTGAAGATGGTGAAGTTTAGTTTCAGAGAAGTAAGATCAGGGTCAAGTGTTTCAAGATTTGCTCTTGTCTGTCATTACCTTCTTTTTCCTGGTCAATTCTTCCCTCGTTCCTAATGTAGATTCTGATTTCCTAGTTGGAAGAGCAACTTGTAAGATAGATCATGTTATAAAGTGCACTTCTAATCGTGCTTTTCCTTTTATTTTTCCTTCCAGTCCTGGTACCTGGGATAAAAGTTGCAGCGTCCCACCATCCACCAGACAGACCACCTGACCCCTTCTCAACTCTGTAACATGGACGCAACCTCAACCCAGCGCGGTTACAACTTCACTGTCAGTGGAAGGGGAGAAAAACCGATTCAAATCAACTTGTACATGGAAACAGCGAGCATTATGGTCAAACAGCAAAGGCCATAACCTTTTGGGATTTTTTTTTTTTTTAATACGTTAGGGACTGTTGTAATTTCTCATATGGTGCTGGAAATGGTTGGGCTTTGTCACATCTGAAGTGTTTCGTGGTAGCGTGAGCACTAGGTGATGTGGCTAGCGGAGGACTACCCTGGCTCACTGACTTCCTGTTGTAACACACTTTCCTTACGGAGCCTGGCTGTTTCACAGTATTTCATGAATTTACCCACACAGGTGTGATCCTCCATGAGCATTCCGGAGGCACATGGAGAACTAAATCTTTTGTAGTAGCTGAGATCTGCAATATATAACTTACGGGACAGTCAAAGGGCAATGTTTTTCTGTAACATATTGGAAAAAGAAAATGCAGTTATGTTCCTTTTTTATTTTTTCTTTTAGTTTGGTTT